CCTTCCAGAGACGGCGCGCGTCCCTCAGCAAGAGGCCCAACTTAAAGGGATCATCACCATGGCCCGAGATGGCCGTCAGGGCAGCTTTGCAGTCGGTCAAGATGAAAATGCACGTCTCGCAGCCCTCACTCCACACCCGGTGGACCGAAGCAAAGGCCGCGTGGAGGGCCAGAACTTCCTGCCGATACGGGGATTGATCCTCTGCCCCAGTGCCCATGGCATAGACACAAGACGGATCGCCGATCACCACCGCATAAGCACCGACAGATCGATGGCTGGAGCCATCAGTAGCCGCATAAATCCTGCTCCTGCCAGAGCCGAGGGCAGCACGGAAAGCAGCATCCAAGTCCGCCCGAAAGGCCCCACAGTCAGAGGCGGCAGGCGCCGGAGGTTTCAGATTCAAGGGAGTCGACTTGGCAAACATGCGCTCCTCCGCCCGATTCGTCGGAGGGGGGTGATCCCGCCGGAGCGCCTCGGTGCACTCGCAAACCCAGGTCACATGCGGTCGCGACGGAGCAGTCGCTCCGCAGAGGCACTGCATGCGCCTATGCTGCTCATTCAAGCCCTGCCCGGCCGTAAAGAACCAGCACGAGCCTCCCGTGACAGCAGCAGCCCGTCTCATATAAGGAGTGGTCGCCTCATGCATGGCAACGCGGTGCCCACGAAAGCTGAAGCGCGCATCCCGCGACGGAGGTGCCAGATCCAGGCCGCGCGCAAGGCTCGGGTCCGGCCTATGAAAGCTCCGCCAGACGCGCTGGCATCTCTGCATGTAAAGGTGCCGGTAATGGTCAAACAGCCAGCCCTTAACCTCAGCAAAGCTCTCCCATCCGACCTGCACCTCACGAGAGATCCCTAAGTCATCACGGCAGGCGAAAAAGAAGCCATCAGGGCGTTCAACAACGCTCCACCCCAATTTGCGAAGGAGGCCAGGCGCAGCAGGCAACAGCTGATCCCAGCGCTGGCCCCGGGCATCACGCGGCTGCTCCAGAGCAAAGGCCGGAGGCTTGCAGAGGAGGCGCCAGGCCTCGCGGAGCACAGCAGAGTCAGCAGCGCACTGTGGCTCCAGCATCCACCCCACATGTTCGAAGATCAGGACACGCGGGGCTTCAAAGGAAAATTGACAGTCAAAAAACACGAATCGCAGCATCTCTAACTTGCTTCATCTCGCCTGCCAGTGGCGTGGCATAGGCAGCGGCCCACACCAAGCACGGGTAAACAAGTGATTTCAGCATGAGGGCCCGCAGTCGACTGCAAGCGGTCACCCAGCGCAAAAGGTCCATGCGCAGCAAAGCTTTTCTCAAGGAAAATTTCAGCAAGCCCCATTCATCATTAAAGGAAACAGTGACACCTAAGACTTCAAGGGTTTGCGAAAACTGATAGTTGAATCGGGCAGCCAGAGCAGAGGCCTCGACATGACCCTCCGGCGCCACGATCGCACACTTTGGCAGGGAAATTTCAAGACCACAAGTGGCATCGAATCGGTCAGAGCGCCGAATCGCATGCTCCAGGTCGCCAAGATCCGCAGAGAAAGTCCAGAAGGACCGGTCGTCCAGGTAGACCAGGCCTGAAACCCCTTGCCTCAACACAGCCAAGGTCCAAAGGTGGCTAAATGCGGCAGCAAGGGTGGGACTTAAGGGACAACCCTGAGCAATACCCAAGCGGGGCTTAAACCAGGCATCACTGTATGCACCATCAAGTTGGACGATGCGCGAAGCTCGCGTGTAAAAGGCCTTCAGCAGCGGCCAAAGAAAAGGCGGCGCTTTCAAATGAGAAAGGAGGACCTCTAGGGCTTCAAACTGGATGGCATCAAAGAACCCCGCAATGTCCTGTTGAACCGCAACGTTAGCGCCACCGCGCAGCAGCATTCAGCTGAAGCAGGGCACCCGACACCGACGTGCCCGGGATGCCACCGGCATCCGACGGAGAGCTCCAAGAACCTATCCAGTCGGAGAGTTGGGTATTCAAAATCCTTGCTCCCGCACGCCAGACAGCTTGAGAGATGGTTAACGGCCTGAAGCCCCCCTTGATTTTCTTTAAAATCAGCGATGTTTGAAAGATGCACTTACCGGCAATCGTGCACAAGGTATTCTCGCAATGAAGTACACGATATATATATTAAAAACTTCGCAATCCGATATGTTCAAATGAATCCGACTCACAATTATATGACTCAATCAAAAGAGTCGAGCTCGAGGCTCAAAGGTATCTCCCGTTCCAAATAAAAAGTTGGCAGCAGAGAAGGTCGCGCATTCTTCTTTTTCTCTTCAGCGATCAGGGGTTCGAACGAATTCAGTTTCGGAACCATGGCATCCGGGCCGCAGCCGATGCGAAGAGCACGGGCCTGAAGCCGCTCAGAGTTTGTCCCGAACACACCCCCCTCCCTCGTAGATGTCTGGGTCGGGCGGGCGGGGAAAAGTTTTAAAAGCTCAGCTCGAGCAGTCACTTCGTCAGACACAAGAGTATCATCAGAGATGCCAAGGAACATGGACATGCAACAAAAATCGATGAAGCATGTCAAATATTCTTCATGAAAAACCCACCCAAAAAAAGGGGGGGGAATAAATAGCATGATGTGCTGTGGCCAATTGTCAAACACGGCCTGCGGCCTGTCGCCGATTTCAAAGAAAGAAAAGTCTGCAGGCAGAAAAGTTTCTTCTTTAAAATCAGCGATGTTTGAAAGATGCACTTACCGGCAATCGTGTACAAGGTATTCTCGCAATGAAGTACACGATAAATATATTAAAAACTTCGCAATCCGATATGTTCAAATGAATCCAACTCACAAGTATATGACTCAATCAAAAGAGTCGAGCTCGAGGCTCAAATGTATTTCCCGTTCAAAGTAAAAAGTTGGCAGCAGAGAAGGTCGCGCATTCTTCTTTTTCTCTTCAGCGATCAGGGGTTCGAACGAATTCAGTTTCGGAACCATGGCATCCGGGCCGCAGCCGATGCGAAGAGCACGGGCCTGAAGCCGCTCAGAGTTTGTCCCGAACACACCCCCTCGGATCGACGAACTCAGAGCAGGTAAGCATCAATCAAAGATTGATCGATGAAGTAAAGCTCCACCTTCGCTGCGCGAACGACCTTCTGCGCTTTCCAACCTTCGCCCCTGGAGGGCCAATCCGCGATGTTAGAAGATGATGGCACTCTCTCTATCCACGATATGCAAGGGGCGACGGCATCGACCATGGACAAAGCCATGGCCAAGCGATGCATCGCGTCGCTTCTGCTTTGACCGCGCAGCACCACAGATCTAGCGGCATCGTTGTCAATGAAGAAAATGATTCGTCTTCCTGAAAGAAAATTCTGAAGGCCGGCCCTGATCATCAGGAGAGCATAAAGCTCTACCTCGCAGATGATTTGCTCCCCGACCTCCTCACGCCAGCGAACCACAAGGCGCTCTGGAACCTGACCTTGGAAAACTCTAGATACGCCGCTGCTCGCATCAAGAATTACTGCGCCGATCCCGGCGAAGGCCTTGGCAGGCTCCCAAGCTCCATCAGTCCATATCAGGATAGGAGGCTCTCCAGTCGAATCGCAGCTTATGAAGCGGGGCGGCGTGCTCAAAAGAATCTTGACCGTGTGCCTGCACATCTCGCTGACGGTCTTTGGCGAAGGCCTGTCTCCAGCCAGAAAACCAGATAGCCATTTGCAAGATTGCTTGAGGGCACGACCGGCAAAGAAACCCGATGAGAAGTTGAGCAAGCCCAGCAGAATCTGAGCCTGATGAATCGTAAGGAAACCCGAAGCAGCCACGGATTCAAGCTTCTCCACGATCCTATCGATCCTGCCAGGTTTGTTCGATAGGACGATGCTTCTCTTCGACAAGTTGCTCAAGTCGACCTGCATTCCCAAAACGGAGAAAACTTCCGCAAAGGGGTGTGATTTGCTGCCTGTCTTGGCATGGCCCCAGCCCAAAATGTCCAAGAATTCGCTGATGATGCCGTCAGTGTCACTGGAAGAAAGCGATGTCGAAAACATCGGAAAGTCATCAAAGTACACTGAGCTGGGCAACTTGAAAATCTTAAGCAGCAGTTTGTGAAGGCTTCTGCTCGTGCGCACGAACCCGTAAACCGAAGCAGTGAGTCCGAAGAGCAGCGAATTTGCAATGAAGAATTGATCCTCGCCTGCAGGGCCCTTGTGGTAGATCACAGCGAGAGAGCGGTGCTCCTTCTTCATTGGCATCTGCTTGTACGCCTTCGATAAATCGAGGCACTTGCCCAGCCACGACCTTGGGGGCTCGCCTGTAGCGCGAGATCTCTCAGCCTCTTCGATGGCAATCCTTGCCGCTAGAGCCGCCACAAAGTCAGAGTTCTGGAGCTCCAATCTTATGGTGGCTGTGAAGCAATTGTTGATCAAAGCCTCATGCCCGTCATCTATGGGTCTAGGTTTGTTCTCGGCTCCTTGAAGGATCAGGAATCTTCGTATGCAGTTCCAATCGTCAGAGTGGAAGAAAGCAGACACTTGGCTCTCGGTGTATGGGCCTTCCAGGAAGCCCAGATCGACTTCGTCCAACGTAGCCTTCGACAGCAAGTCTTGCAGATCGGCTGCCTGCATGCCACTGGATCCAGTCATGACCTTTCGGCGAAACGAAGCGGTACCCTTGAGATCCTGCTCCGTCATGGTAGCCGGCACAATCTTTCTGCTGAAAGGCTGAGGGCAGGCTGACTGCCCAACAATCGGGACGCCCGACATCATGAAATCGCAGACTTGCATGTCATCGAAATTGTTCTGCTCAAGAAGGTGTTTCCACAGAAGAAGACGCTTTCCCGCCACAACTTTCTCGAACCAAGGGTCGAAAGAAGAATGCAATCGAGCCTCGTCGGCCTCAAACTTTTTGGCGAGGATCTTTATCTTCAAAGTTGAAGCTTACGATGATCTACCACCTCCTTCTCTGTGTTTTTCATGCAGAAGCTGATGGCATCAAGCTGATCCTGATCAAGGGCTACGGCAGTGTCGACGGGATGCTTTAAGGTCAAGGCCTTTGCCACGTGATCCTGCATCGACAAGTACCACCCTACCTTAACCGAACCTTGGGGAGGGTCGGAACTATTAGGGAAACCCGAGGAGGGAACCTTGCTGGACACCTTATCTGCGACTCTGGGGAGCTTTGTAGGAGGGTTCACCTCCTTGTCGGCGTCCTCGGCTGCATTCTCTCTCCCGCTATCCTCCCCAGCAATCTGAGAGAGAAGGATGCGACAAGAGTCGTCAGGCTGGAAAGAGGGCGGCTCCCAAGTGACCTTGCGAAACTCAGGAATCAAGGGGGGAAATCGGCGGTGCTGCCGACCAAGAACAGCAACAGAGCTGGCTGCCAGGTCACGAGAGGCCTGCAAAGACAGACCCAGGAACAAAGCCGCGCTCTCCAGACAGGAGGCCATGCGTTTGCAAAGCAGAACGGGGTATGCCGACACGGAAGAAGACGACAACTGCATAGAACGCTCATGGAACACAAGGCCCCACGGGCGATGCTCGTGAGTGCCTGGACAAGTAGCTCGAAGCGAGTGGAACAAGCCTCGAGTGCACAAGAAACGAGTGGACTTCGGGCGATCGGAACCATGACAACACTGGTCGAAATCAACGTACTCCAAGGCGGCCGGAGGCCAGAGCAAGCCCTCGGCCTCGGCAAAGCACTGAAGAACCTTCCAGAAAAGCGAAGTCCGGGGATTCTCGACACTGACATTGATGCCTGAAGCAGAACAGTGTAGCAGAAGCTTGTAAACGAAGCGATACAGTACATTGGCCTTGCGCACGGCAAGGCTCTGCTGAGACGCTGCACTCAGTGACGGTAGGCCTAGTGGGAAATCATCGGATCGCAAAGGTTTAGGGGCCTTAGAGGCAAGGGCGTGATTCTTTGGCAAGGGCCGCTCACGAGAGCGAGAAGCCGTGCCCGCAGGGGGCGATGCATGCACGTGAAAAGGAGGGCACTCCTTAATGAGATCCCAAAAGATCGACTGTGCCGAATCTAAGGTCAGATCAAGCCTGGCCACAGGAGAGACCGCTTTATGGCAAGAACTGTCTAGCCCTAAAACCCGAAAACCCAAATCCTTGCAAGCCTTGCTGAAGCGGGCAGTGCCAGCGAAGAGCTCGTAAACCCAGGAGTCTGATTTCACAGGTGGCTGCTCCTGGGCAGTCACAGGAATGGGGAAGGAAAGATCAGGCGGGGGCCTAAACCCTAGATCAAGCAAGGTCCTGGCTGACTCAGTTGGGATTTTCTCAAGGCTAGCGACAGTGAAGGCCACGCAAACCAATCTATCGCCAACCCAGCTTTCCGTCTCGTGAGGGTATTTGAAGGCATCAAAAGTGATCGGGGTCTCGAGGCTAAGGATTGAGCCTTTCACGATGTCACCCTTGATTGTCCGTTTGTGAGGCCCGCATCCATCGGCAATCCAGATGCCACCTCCTTGAAAAGAAGTCACGGCAATGACCCCGTTGGGGGTGTGATGGTTCCTGGAATCGACATGCAAATCGGTTTTGGTGTTGTGAAACAAACTGATAGCCGTGAAGAAATGCTCTGGCAAAAAAGTGCGAACAAAAGCAGTGAGGAGCTTTATGCAGAATGGAAACAGCGCACATTCACTCCGAAGACTCTGCAATCCACCCTTTGCGTAGGCCCCACAACTGAAACTGCTCGGAGGCTGCGAGGAGGTTCCTCTAGAAGGAACCTCCTTGGGCAAAAGATCGAAAATCTGAACAACATCTTGCTTAGTAATCCCTGACCCTCTGGCCAAAATGGCCTGCGCGAGGACCTCAGCATCACTAGGGGCAGAATCCGAAGTGGCCACGAGGTCAGGCCCCTGGGGCCTCGCATGGCCCCATCACTGTACCTGATTTGTGCATTCAGTAAAGGGGTGATCCCCAAAACATCGCCAACACTGGTGAAAGCCTCGCGGGCATCTTCCTTTCGTCACCTTGAGCTTGCACGTGCCTAAGTTAAACCCAAAACAATTCGGCTTGCCCTGAGGATCTTTGGCCGCACAGCCATCCGGAATGGTTACACGAGGTGCCTTGCCACCGCCCTTCTCGCCGCCCTTGGTGGATGTCTTGCCCTTTCCGTCGCCTTTGTTAGGCGTGGCAAGCTCCTTGAAAGGGCGCTTCGTGGGATGTGGTGCAGGAGGAGGAGCTGCCAGCGGCTGGAGAAATTGATTTATCTCCTGGCTACCCGAGAGGTCACGCAAAGCTGCATCCATGGGTTTCTCCACACCTATGGGTTTCTGCAATTGTCCTTCAAGCTTGTCAGCCAACCGGACAAAAAGCTCACGATCTGCCGTAACGACTTGTCCCAAGCTGACTGCTACATATCCCTTTGGCACGGTACGCTGAACTGCCTCGAAGAGTTGGTTGATCCATGTTTCCATTGCTTCAAAGCTGCACAAGTGACCTAGATCAAATGCTAACGACCGTCTCTGGAAGGCCTGCCGGAGAGGGTACATGCCAGTGGTGTCGCACGTCGGCTCCGGCTTTTTCTGGACGACCTTCAAGTTGCCCTCGTTGTCCATCTGAACGGCAGAATCCTTCTTCTGAAGAGACATTTCTTGGAAGCGGGATATCCATCTGTTAATCGGAATGTACTTGAGTGTGTTATTCTCGTACATGTCAGTCACAAGGTCGATACAGCTATGGGCAGGAGTGGTATGCGAAGTCAGAATGAGACCCGACAGCCTACGATGCTGCGCCTCGATGCGCTCCTTTCTCTCGGCCTGGGGCAGGCGACGCACGGAACCTTCCGGCGTGCCTTCGACCCTAGATTTGAGATCCGCCACATTGAGTGATTGCGATTCAAAAAGCAACCTACGGATCACCGAAACCTGAAAGGAACCAGGAGACGGGGTGACCACAGTGGCTAGCCATGAATCGACAGCTTCGTCTGTCAAACCCTGCGGTGTGGAAGAAGCGGCGAAAGCGAGCTTTCCAAATGTGTTGTAGCCGGCTTCAATCAACTTACCGAGAAGATCGTTGCTGAGGCCTATTTTACTGCATCTCTCACGGAACGAAGCTTCACTGTCCAATATGACAGAGGACATGGCTCAGCCTGCAGGCTACTCGGACTCGGCCGTTGTCACAGTATCGAAGCAGAATGCTTCGGCCACTGTCTGAGCCAACGGGCGCCGGATCCACGCTTTGACATGTTGCCAAGCTGCTGCACAACTAACCCAACATCGCGATTTCAGCAACGTCACTTTAAGCATGTTCGCCAAAACTTCTGGCACCACGGGCCATAGGCCGGTGCATACGGCAGGGTTGCGTTTCACAGTCCTACCTCAGATCCAGCCTGCGACATCTCCAATAAACAAGGTCTGGGTTTTCGGAATGCCACGGGCTCGGAAAGCCGGCATCCGTAGTCTGTCACCTCGGGTCAAAGACCGGTGCCATGTGTATTCTCAGGGGCCACGTTATACAGCCCCAACAGTTCACGTAAAGGTCGAATGCAACTCACTCCTCACTGGGGAAGGCAAGTCCCACGGATCCGAAGGATCGGGACGTCTATTTCTCGCAGTTGACCATACCACAAGCTCGCCACGGGCTAAAAGCCGGCGAAGCAAAAGACTCGCAATGGTACATACCACCACCGAGCTCGGCCGATTTTTCTTTCGATAGTATCTGTTCAATCAGCGCTCGACATCGCCCGCCTGCACTGATGGCAGGTGTCCGGGTCATCGGCATCGTCTTCCTCGAAGTCCCTGTATCTGTCTGTCAGGGGACGCCCACAAAAGAAAGTGCCCTCGTCCCTGAGTCGATGAACGATGCCAGACAGGCTATGCACACGAAGCTCGGCCACGGTGCATTCGAAAGGCGGTCTAAGCTCCTGGCCGGAACGCGGCATTGGCTCATACCCCACAATTGACTCGGCAGACTCAGAAGACTCCACATCGGCGGCACCCACGTGCTGATCCTCAGGGGGAGCGGGAGCCTGTGAAGCCGTCGCGTCACCTGCAAGTGCTGATGCCACTGCCGCGACCCTGTCCGTGACCTCGGCATCCGGATCGAATTGGTTCTGGCGGATGGTCCTGAACATCGCCAGGATTTTTCCCGACAAGTTGATGTAGAACTGACGACTATAAATCAGAGTCGAAGAAGGGCCGCCCTTCCTGAGGTGATGTCCCATCAACAACCTCTCCTTGGGAGTAAAAGAAATTATAGGTGACCACCCACTCCACGTGATCAAGGTGGTCTTGAAGCTGTGGGTCCCTATCGACTCATCAGGGCCAGGGGCCATGTCCAATGAAGTTAGGACGTCGATCAAGATGTCGCTGGCCTCCTCGGATGACATTCTCTCCTGGCCCCAGCATCCCCACTTCTGCGACCACGAAGGTAAGCACCCCCGGTCGAACTGGATGCCTTCTCTCTCACGTGCCTCCAACCAGAGCTGCGCCCACGGCGTGTTGCTCACCCCAGTGGAGACACATACATACGGAAGCAGGCGCGTCTTCGCCTCTACTGTGGTAGACGTCTTCGATCCAAGAGCCTCTGCAATTAGCAATTGGCCTTCTCCATCAGAGGTGAGAGTCAAAGACTGAACGTTCTGTGAATCGCTCCACCGACAAGATGTGTGTATACAAAAGAGAAATTGCCCGACTACACATCGGGTCCAATCTGAGCATCTCTCCATCAGCAGCTCCAATGCCTCCACTCGCCGACGACTGAGGGAATCTCTCTGCCTCAGAGGAGCCTTTCTGAGCTTCAAGTCTTGTGCGACGCCACGCACTCTCGAAGACAAGATGGCCTCCAGGTCCATGTACTTGAAGCGGGCTATGGCATGGAAGAACCTCAAAGCCTCGTTAAGCCGCCATGGTGAGTCCAGCGAAGCATCATAGGACCTCACCACAAAAACCTGAAGTGACAAGGATCTCTTCTGCAAAGTCAAGGATGCCTTTCCCCTGAAGGCGTCTGCCAGACTCTGCATTATGACTTCTTCATCTTCCATGGCCTTACCCTGATCAACCAGGCTGCTGCCTAAGGCTGTGGCCTCAGGGTCAATCAAGATAAGCATCTTGAACCTCCTCAAAGAAGAATCTCTTATGTCTGCATCCGATTTCGGCAGCCTCGCTCTGGCCAACCTTCTGGTTACAGTCCAAGGAATGTGAGAAAAAGCATCAGGTTCGGGATCCTTGTCTCTTGCCATAGACAAAGTTTCACTCACCCCGACAGAAGTCGAAAACTTCAAGAAAAAATCCGAGCACTGATCAAGATGTGAAGGCTTTGTCTCCCAAGGCTGACGTGGTAACTCGAACCTCCTTCTCTTGTGAACTGCTGCAGCCACCATCTGAGAAGCATCAAGCTCAGCCATCGGTCCCTCAAGCCAAGACAGCTTATTGGACTGTGATCCTGGCAAAAGTAGCGGAGCAGCAGGAGAGGAGGCAGGTATCTCTTCTTCCACGCACTCAAAGCTTCCCAAGTCATTGTCCTGAACTTGAGAATACCACTCTCTCTCATCCGCAGAAAAATCCAAAATCTCGCTCTCAGCATGACTTGCTAATCCTTCAATACTCACGATGTCCAACTGCTGAACATCCTCTTGGTCATCCCGAAGTAGACCATCCAGGTGTTCGTCGAAGGGGTCCCCGGCTGCGGGAGGGCCATCCTGTATCAGCCCCCAAACATCATAAGAAGCTTCTGCCGATTCACCCCCTTCCATCCCAGGAGCTTCTGACAGCAGAAAGGCCCAGAAGTCACAAGGGCAGGTGTAACCCGGAGAGGCGGCGGCGCTGGCGCCGCACAGACTGCTGGACGAAGGCAAAAATGTGATACGCAGCCCGACAGCTCAAGCACAAAGCCTCGAAACTGTCCAATCCCAGAAGCAGCAGAAAGCGAGCTCCCGGCGCAGTAGCTCCCAAGAGCTGAAGAAGTCCCACCTGTCGCGGCCTTTCAGGCCGCAAGATTTCAGACTGCCTGCAGATTTTCGAGCAGCCACAGGAGGACTAGGCGCCGGAGCGGAGCTGGTGCTCTAAGCAAGCGCCTGTCCATGCGAGGTCCGAAGACCTCGAAGAAGCTACAACGCCGTGATTAGCACCCGAGGCCTGGTACACTGTTTTACAAGCCTCTAGAGGGGACCACGACGAAAAGTTTTAAAAGCTCAGCTCGAGCAGTCACTTCGTCACAAACAAGAGTATCATCAGAGATGCCAAGGAACATGGACATGCAACAAAAATCGATGAAGCATGTCAAATGTTCTGCATGAAAAACCCACCCCAAAAAAGGGGGGGAATAAATAGCATGATGTGCTGTGGCCAATTGTCAAACACGGCCTGCGGCCTGTCGCCGATTTCAAAGAAAGAAAAGTCTGCAGGCAGAAAAGTTTCAACTTGCGAAGTGTGAACTGAGCCACCTGAGAGTCTTGATCTTGAGTTCGAGACCCAACCGGGTGGCCCAGCCATGCGTTGCCTGCACTGGTAGGTTCTTCGAAGGGGGCGAGCACAACATTGCGCCATGAACTAGCCTCCTGGACTTCGGACTCGGAGAAATTGCGCAACGCCTGTCCAGATCCAGGCTATCTTGGAACAGGTTTCCATTTCGCATCATTCTCAACATTTCTGCTCAACTTTTGATGCAACTTTTTGTGGATCTACCGCACCACCGGTGACTGGCAGCACGAGGCTCGTCTTCAACCTGCTGCTGTTGGTTTCGGCGACTGCATGCTCTCTTCCACGCCCATGAAGTGCATGGTGAGTTCGTTTTCGTCTCACACAGTCTTGCTTCTCAAAACAGTGTGGATAGCTTGTTTCAACCTCTTTGGCACAATCTATTTTCTAGTGACCCAAACGGCACATTTCAGACTGCCTTGATGGTGACGTCTTCGGAGAGGGATAACCTCGGCAGTGTGGAGCTTTTGATGGCAAGCAAATGCCGCCGAGCTCACGCGCGAGGTTCCTACGCAGCCACTCTCACAGGCGCCTGGCAAATGGCACAGTCTTCCGTCCGAAGTTTTCTCAGCACACGAATATATAAATTTCTTTTCGGAACACGGAGGTCTCATGACTTCATATGACTTCTAGGTTCATCCAACGAATTCAGCCATCGACCTCATCTAAAGCATTCGACTCGCGTTGCGTTTTTAATTCTGTCTAGGACTTCAAAAGCAGGTCTGCGCAAGCATCCTCCAACTTGCAGAAAAAATTAGTCAAACAAACATTTGCGGATTCAATCACGTGCAACGGCCAAGATGGCCGTTTGTGCCGAAAGACAAATGGATGGAAATGTCACGCGCAAGAGTCAAACATCTCGAAGAAAACAGAATTGCAAAGCCCGGAAGCGTCCTACCGGTCCTACCGAGGCAATGTCAAGAGCAAGGAAAAGCTAGGAAACACTCACGTTTTTGTTGAGGTGCTGTTGCTCTGAATCTGGCTGATTCCCTGCGTCGACCTGCACCAGAAAAGCGGTGGAAAAGACTACAGCGGAAATGCTGACCGCTGACGGTGATGGGTATTCGAGCTTGTATAGCTCACATGACATGATCTGCACAGCGCCTCAGACGCTTTTGAAGTTTCAAAAGCTCCAAACCTGAGTGCACTCGACTGCGCAGCACGCCACAGAGACTGCTTCTCGCAAACAACTCGCAAGGCTTCTTAAGCCAATGGCCAGTACGCAGCCGAGCCAGCTGCACCAGCAGCCAATAACACAGGCGCAGCCTCACATCCAAGCTAGATGTCTTAAAGTCTTAAAGCAGTTTCCGTAAATGCCGTTCGTTCAATCCAGGCGTCTACTGCCAGTAGCACACTGCCACCAGCCGCAGCAGCACTGGCGGTGACCACAGTCACACCTGTGGCACTTCCAGCACCAGCGGCGGCAGCGCTAGCCGCGGCGGAAGCGGCTGCAGTTGCGCTGCTGACACCAAGCGAAACACCTCCAGTTTGGTTTGTTTCCAACATTCATTCGCATGATTCAGAGATTAGAATCCTCTGACCGGGTGACTGGTGACAGTTGATGGGCAGGTACATGTAATAAGACAGTGTGCGAAAATTGACATGTTTCTTCGACGTCCACTTCTGACAGTAGGACACTCAAGCTTGATGTCGAAAAACCCTTCCGTAGCCTGAAGGGAAGGCCCCTACCCCGCAGCCTGTAGCACTGTAGCACGCACCAAAAGTGATGCCCAGCTCCATGCGGCTACAGCGTGCTGGCACGATGAAACCAGTTCTGATTTCTTATATGACATCGAGAGTCGAGATGTGATGCGGAACTAGAAACTCGTACATGAGTCACCTTTTCTGAGAGGGTTTGTTGATCTGCTTGGAGCGCATGTGGATTTTCGCTCCAAAGATTGTCCTGGCTTTGGGCTTGAATCTGTATGCAGTGTATGCCTAACATGGGCGCTCAGAGTATGTTGCGTGATGTTCTTAGAGCCAAGGGCTTTTGGAGGAACTGTCGAGATGGCCCCCTCGTTTTGTCTGACCCACTCACCTGACTCACCCCGTAACTTGCATGAAATGTGCAAATGCAGCTTTGAGATGTTTTGAGTATGGCTCAACCCTTCAATCGATGGTTCGGAGAAATATCCCAAAGTCTTGCTACCAGGTAGCCAAACAAAGGTGTCTACCGTCTGGAAACGAGTCTCTTGCGGCACATGTGAGAGTCCAAGAGGGGCAAGAGTAGGTTGATTTCATCAACCCTCGGGATCTTCTAATTGTGCTTAAACACTTGCGGCCTCGGGTGGACAAGCTTATGCCTTGGCATCCTCCTTCGCCATGTGCTTGATCAGATCGACGACTCGGCAGCTGTAGCCCCACTCCTGGGCTGGTTTTGAAAGCTTTCAAAAAGTGCAACTTGAGTTTTGTCTTAAGACTGAAGATTAAGCGCAGACCAGACTGAAGAAAGCGTTCACGAAGGGCCGAAACTCGTTGTCATACCAGCACACCACCTTGACGAAGGTGGGGTCCAGCATGATTCCAGCCTTGGAGTCGAAAGTGCAGGAAATAGGGTTGGTCTCAAAGTCCGTGGATACGAGGGCCTCGTCCGTGTAGCCCAAATAAATAGCCCTTCATGTCTCCCTCAGACCGCTTCTTCATCTCGGCGCAGATCTCCTCGTAGGTGGTCTCCTTTTCCAATTCCACGGTGAGGTCGACCACGGAAACATCGATAGTCGGCACGCGCAGGGCCATGCCGGTCAGCTTGCCCTTCACATCAGGAATCACTTTCGCCACTGCCTTGGCAGCGCCGGTGGAGCTCGGAATGATGTTGCCAGGGCCTGCGCGGCCGCCCCGCCAGTCCTTCTTGGAGGTGCCATCCACGGTGGGCTGAGAAGCGGTCATGGCATGGCAAGTGGTCATTAGGCCGCGCTTGATGCCGAACTTCTCCTGCAAGACACGCACGGCTGGGGCCAGGCCGTTGGTAGTGCAAGAGGCGCAGGACACGGCCTCCATGGACGGGTCGTAAGTGTCTTCGTTCACGCCCATGACGATGGTGTGGGAGTCATCCTTTGCGGGAGCGGAGAAGATCACCTTCTTGGCACCGGCCTTCAAGTGGGGCTGCACCTTCTCAGTGGTCAGGAATACGCCGGTGGACTCGCAAACGTACTCAGCACCATGCTCGCCGAAGGGGATCTCAGCGGGATCGCGGGTGTGGGACAAGGCCACCTTCTGGCCGTCAATGACCAGGGAGTCGCCGTCAACCTCCACCGTTCCATCGTACTTGCCGTGGATCGTATCATATTTCATCATGTAAGCCAGGTAGTCGGCATCATAGCTGGCATTGATGAGCTTGAGCTCGGTCTCCGGATCCTTCATGGCGATGCGGGCCACCTGCCTGCCGATGCGGCCGAAGCCATTGATGCCAACGCCCACGGCCTGCATGGAGGTGCGTCCCTTGCTGGCTCGCTTGCCAGCCACACCTGCTGCAGCCAGACCAGCCACGGCACCGAGGCCAGCCATGGCACCAACACCGGCGGCCTGAGAGGAGCCATAGCCGGCGGCACGGAGGTTGGTCCTCTGCATCTGCGGCTCGCTGTGCTGCACCTGGCCAGCCGGCGCCACGAAGGCACCGCTCAAGGCACCCGCTGCCGCGAAGGCACCGACGCCAGCCATGGCAACATTGGTGGCGGTGGAAGGCATGATTTCCAGGATCTGCACAACGACGGGCCTTATTCGAACCTGCTGGGCGGCTGCTACTGGACCGACGATGGGAATCAGGGGGGTAGGGCCGGAGTGCTACGGACGTTTGTCGACCGTCAAGATCCGTCAATCAGTGCCAAACAACAACCAACCCCGTTCCTCGCAAGCAGTTATCCGCTCTTGATCACCCATGGTTGTGACGACACTGACCAAACGTCAACAACTCTGTTTGTGGAGGGGCATGCCTGCGTGCTCGGCAGCGATAAGGAAAAATAAGCTCGGAGAGCCCAAGAGGGGCAAGAGTAGGTTGATTTCATCAACCTCGGGATCTTCTAATTGTGCTTAAACACTTGCGGCCTCGGGTGGACAAGCTTATGCCTTGGCATCCTCCTTCGCCATGTGCTTGATCAGATCGACGACTCGGCAGCTGTAGCCCCACTCCTGGGCTGGTTTTGAAAGCTTTCAAAAAGTGCAACTTGAGTTTTGTCTTAAGACTGAAGATTAAGCGCAGACCAGACTGAAGAAAGCGTTCACGAAGGGCCGAAACTCGTTGTCATACCAGCACACCACCTTGACGAAGGTGGGGTCCAGCATGATTCCAGCCTTGGAGTCGAAAGTGCAGGAAATAGGGTTGGTCTCAAAGTCCGTGGATACGAGGGCCTCGTCCGTGTAGCCCAAATAGCCCTTCATGTCTCCCTCAGACCGCTTCTTCATCTCGGCGCAGATCTCCTCGTAGGTGGTCTCCTTCTCCAATTCCACGGTGAGGTCGACCACGGAAACATCGATAGTCGGCACGCGCAGGGCCATGCCGGTCAGCTTGCCCTTCACATCAGGAATCACTTTCGCCACTGCCTTGGCAGCGCCGGTGGAGCTCGGAATGATGTTGCCAGGGCCTGCGCGGCCGCCCCGCCAGTCCTTCTTGGAGGTGCCATCCACGGTGGGCTGAGAAGCGGTCATGGCATGGCAAGTGGTCATTAGGCCGCGCTTGATGCCGAACTTCTCCTGCAAGACACGCACGGCTGGGGCCAGGCCGTTGGTAGTGCAAGAAGCGCAGGACACGGCCTCCATGGACGGGTCGTAAGTGTCCTCGTTCACGCCCATGACGATGGTGTGGGAGTCATCCTTTGCGGGAGCGGAGAAGATCACCTTCTTGGCACCGGCCTTCAAGTGGGGCTGCACCTTCTCAGTGGTCAGGAATACGCCGGTGGACTCGCAAACGTACTCAGCACCATGCTCGCCGAAGGGGATCTCAGCGGGATCGCGGGTGTGGGACAAGGCCGTCAATGACCAGGGAGTCGCCGTCAACCTCCACCGTTCCATCGTACTTGCCGTGGATCGTATCATATTTCATCATGTAAGCCAGGTAGTCGGCATCATAGCTGGCATTGATGAGCTTGAGCTCGGTCTCCGGATCCTTCATGGCGATGCGAGCCACCTGCCTGCCGATGCGGCCGAAGCCATTGATGCCAACGCCCACGGCCTGCATGGAGGTGCGTCCCTTGCTGGCTCGCTTGCCAGCCACACCTGCTGCAGCCAGACCAGCCACGGCACCGAGGCCAGCCATGGCACCAACACCGGTGGCCTGAGAGGAGCCATAGCCGGCGGCACGGAGGTTGGTCCTCTGCATCTGCGGCTCGCTGTGCTGCACCTGGCCAGCCGGCGCCACGAAGGCACCGCTCAAGGCACCCGCTGCCGCGAAGGCACCGACGCCAGCCATGGCAACATTGGTGGCGGTGGAAGGCATGATTTCCAGGATCTGCACAACGACGGGCCTTATTCGAACCTGCTGGGCGGCTGCTACTGGACCGACGATGGGAATCAGGCGGGGGTGTGAGGCTTCCAGAAAAGCCCGAATGCTGCCAAAATTTGTCGGTCGTCAAGATCCGTCAATTCCATTCCTTACGCAAACAATTATGCGCTCCTGATCACCCATGCATGTGACGACACTGACCAACCGTCAACAACTCTGTCTGTGGAGGGGCATGCCTGTGCGTTCCGCAGCAATTTTAAAATAAAGAATTCTCGGAGAGTCCAGCAGGGGCAAAAGCAGGTTGATTTCATTAATCAGTTTCTACATCATGGAAAAGGTGGGTGAGCACGAAACCGAATAGATAAGGAGAAAGAGGACATCCCTGTCGCAATCCTCTGGTCTGTGTTCTGATTGTGGATTTACGCGAGGAGCCTTGTACCAAACAATGGGGCTAACATAAAGGGCCATAATGACCTTTCTAGAACACCTACGTACTCCATGGCGGATTCTATCGCGGTGAAGCTGACGGAGTCACAAGCTGTGCTCCAGTCGATACAGAGGGCATGAAAGGGGGAGTTTTGTCTCTCAAAGACGTCAAGGAGACGGCGGATTATATGTATTGGTTGAGTAGTCGATCGGTTCTTGCGGAACCCAAACTGTCTATCTCGGATGCCGGGGTCTAGTGTTTTCTCCCATTTTTGTTGGAGCATGGAAGCGAAAATTTTACATGATATGTTCAGAGAGATATAGGCCGATAAGTAGAAAGGAGGCGGGAGTTTTTTTGAGTATTTTTGTTCGAGCCCGGCTTCATGTTCCTACCGGTTTAGGGGAGCAGCGGGTCGAGTTACTTAACCGCACTTGCCACGCACGGCACAAACTCGGACCGCACTCATTTTGACCAGTGGCGAAAAGTCCGGTAGCTCCGGAGTCCGGTTTCGGACTCCCGCTGGAAAAGAAGGGCAGCGATCGCACCGGCTTCGTCCTACGGAGCTAACCGGACGGAGTTGGTGGTGCTAGTTTTCATAACCCCCCGTCCTGAGGGAATTAAGCTTACACCAGGAAATTAAGGATACAAACGGTCGGTAAGTGTTTTCGGGGGATGGGCATGTGTAGGCCCGTCACCAAGTTTACCGCCCGGCCATGATAAGGCTGAGTAGCCACAAGATTTTAGTCTTTATACAGCATTACAGCATTCTTGTCCTGAATAGGCATAGGAAACACACAACAACTCACATGTTGTAAGCGGTTTATTGTGGGTCGGCAAATGTACACGCATGAAAATGCACAGCCAAGAAAACCATCTCATGTCGGCCGAGGGAGTGTTCACACAACATACCGAATCTGCTTGCATGGATCCCCTTTAAATTCATATGAACTCATCCCCTTTGAAACCATATAAAGCCAGACCCCCCCTAAAAAATTGCCCCCCCACCCCACCCCCCCACACTATAGCCGGGGTTCATTGTGTCTGGGGGGAGGGAAGACACGAATCTGCATCCAACATTACAGTGTATCTCAAGATCAAAGAACAGCGAGTGACCCACACCTTGCCTGTACCACATGAACGTTGATGCGCAACGCGAGCTTCCAGCCCAAGACATTCCTCAAAAATCTTCAGCACACCCTTCCTTCAAAGAACCCGAAATTTTTCCCACATGTTTTTGCGACAGCATTATGAATAAATGCATGGGCGTCTTCTCGTCAAACGTTGGTGCATGTGCGAGGTCCCAAATCCACCAGAGAGCCACATCCTTCAAGTTTCCGAAGATTTGCACATGCCGCTTGGTTAGTTCGCAAAACCTTCCGAGCGGCCAATGGCACGCGTAGCACTTGCAGCAGCCACCTGCAAGATTGCATCGTCATACTTGATCCCGATTAAAGAAAGGAGAAGAAAAAAGCCAACCCAGTATGGACGAAGGTCCATGCTAACGCGGCAACTTTTGCAACAGTCGAGTCAAGCAGTCAAGAGCACACATCATGAATGCGAGATCCAACCTTGCATGCCTAAGCCTCAAAAACGGCGAAAAGCACGTGATCTTATACCTCGCTCCAAGAATCTTCTGACTTCGTGAACAATCCGAACATTCAAAAATAGCCAGATCTTGGCCTCTACATCTGCATATGTATATCTGTGGTCGTTTTGGGCAATTTTGGCTGCACGGTCACGGGCAAACTTGCATCGCTGAATACACAGCTTGTCGTCATGCATAGAACAACGATGCATCAGAAAGATGTGTGTACAGAAGCAAGGCCCCGCAGTCCTGTACACAACAGGGACCAAGCGCACACGCACCTCAAGTGATAATCGTTGACTCAGCTACGAGCTCATCCAGGAACACCATGCAACGCCAGAAACCGCAAGAAGTGTAAGAATGAAACAAAAGGAATACAAATCCCCGGAACGAAAGCTCGGGCGGGAGGGAGGGAGCTTTCGACTCCACTCTCCGATGTCCGAGCCGCTGGTGGCTTAGTATGGCAACATATAAATCGCAAGCATCAAGCGGAAGCTAGAGCGAAATCTTAAAACATGTTTGAGCTAGCACAAAAAACGTTCTAAGGATTTCGTACTAAGCCACCGCGGTCAAAAGGTTTTGGTTTGCAAGTCGCACTTGGCAAACTCTCCTATCGCAAAGCGTGATCACAGAACAACAAGTATTCCCAGGAGAAGCCTAACGGAGCAACAGCAAAGTATACAGTATACAGTGCATTACATAGTGGACCCACGCATCATACTCGGACCAGTCTACAAAGCAGACCCTCGCATCACACTCGGATCAGTCTTCCCCTTTTGGCGGTAGAACACACAGCTTGTCGTCATGCATAGAACAACGATGCATCAGAAAGATGTGTACAGAAGCAAGGCCCAACCACAACTGCCAAAAGAGGAAGACTGGATCGCATTCACTACCCAAGACCCACAAGTGAGCCAGGCTACACGTTTTGGCACCCGTGGCGGAAACGCCACTCATCTATGCCTGCGAAGCTCAGAGCACAAACCAGACGCCGGGCGGCACTAGCGCCGCCAACCATGCCATCGTGTGCAGGGACTTTCGCAGGACATCATGCGGCGGAAAATGGAAGGCACGCGCACCACCGGGGGAAGGCAAAGCCGACCGCGCACCGATGGGGTCCAACCAGCCGCACAAACCCGCAGCACCAGTTTCAAGATTGCGCCCGCAGCGGCGGCTGCCACAACAAAAAGGCACCATCCGGGAAAATTCGCACATCCTTCGCGCCATCCCACAAGAGTGGCATGGAACAGTCCACACGGTAACTAAGCTGAAAGCGATCTGGCAGCCCGGAGCAACCATCCCACCTGCTAAGCATATCTGCATCATCATTGTGACAACCACTCACATGTGTCGCGTCAAGCGTGATGGCAGACTGCCATGCGACTGTAGCCAAGCGTTGGACAAAATGTGCCAAGGGTTGGACCGTCGTGAACATCTTATTGCAAGCTGCCTCAGTGCCTGAATTGTCTGTAAACGCCGGAAGCTGCAAACGCATACGGCCCCCAACACATGCCGATGCAAACAGACGCACAAGCCCCACCTGAGCCAAGGTCTCATACGAGACAATGTCATGATTAGCATCCGAGTCCACCGGCACACTGCGATCAAGGAAATCCTGCACTGTAAGTCTTTCCGAAAACCACAAACAATCCTGTCCCGGGAACTTCACCCAACCACCTATGCCTATGGAAACCCCGCTGGCACACGCGTCTGCTGCCATCTCCACAGCGGGCACAAACGTAGGCGGCTGCAATGAGCGCATCATAGGCGGTCGCAAGCAGAAACACTTCCACTCGTGCAAAAATTGCCGGCTCAACTGCGAAAGCTTCCTCTTGCCTGTAGTCGGGTCCGCAATTCGCGCCCACAAGCGCTTGCCAGTATTGCGCACCAACCTGAGATCATCGATTGAATGTATATCCACGTGCCGGACACTCAACAACTTGCTGCCACAACGGATGGCTGTACCCGGAGGGGTCGACGCAAAACACAAATCCTTATCAAGGTAAGTGGGAAGCTGTTGCCAAACGGTTTGAGTCAAGGAAAAATTCGTGCCCAGTGGCCGTGCCTTATCCTGATACAAGGAGCAGAGCCATGGGCGAAGCTCAGGCGCCATCTGCAAGACCCAATGGAGAAGGCCAATCAAAGACTCCAAGTCACGGCGATCAAAGTGGGGCGGGAGCAGAACCTTGTCAATCGCCTTCAAAAGTTTAGCGATCTTCTCCAACGGCAAGCAAAATGCCCCAGCACGAAAATGAAACTGCCAACCGATATAAACAATGGTTGGTCCTAACTGCAACTTTCGCCATGATATCGGATACCCGAAAGCCTGGCAGAAAGACAACAGCAAGACTGCCGACATGTCAATGGCCCCTGCCGCTTGCCAAAGCATAGCATCGTCCACGTACATGACCAGCAAGTGGCTCACGTACACTATGCGATGTGCCACACGTACCCAAAACCCAGCAAGGCGCTGCCACCAGTGAGCAGAACAAGATGCGCCAAACGGCGCGACGCGGTAAAAGAAGTAACGGTTGCGAACCTTTATTCCCATTAAACCACGGTCCTTTTCTTTAAGTCTGGATGTTTTATGAGCCGCAGAAATATCCAGCGATACCGCTGAAACCTCATCAGCACAACCCCTGACAGGGTACCCATGCTGCACGTCCCCCAAACCTGGAAGCAAGAAGCGCTCCGGGATAACGCAAGCTCCGTTCGTCCCAGAGACAGAAGGGTCAATGATCAACCGGGGAGATTTGCCCTCAGACTTTATAATGTTAGCTTTGCCGATGGCCACACGGGCCCATCTCGCACGAGCCGCCTCAAGCGAAGGCAATTCCTCAACATATCCCGCAGCCAGCTCGGCCTCCATCAATTCCTCAAGCAATTCCGGATCCTCCTCGGCACCAGGCCAGTGCCCCGAACAAATTTTAAAATCCTCGTCTGAAACATCTTGAT